CCCCCCCCCCCCCCCCCCTCCTTTTGGTAAAGTTTCTTGAGCTCTACGTGTATAATCGTGAGGAAGATCAACATCGGGTTCCCCCTCCTAGAACAACAATGGTGATTGTTCGATGGAAGCTGCAATGTAGAGAGTCAGAAACCTATCTGAATGGTGGAATATAGTGGCTACTAATTGATTGTGGTCAAGTGAAGGCTGCAATCTTGATTTGGAAGTTAGCTCATTTGATTGGTTATTGTTGTGGCACTCCGAGCTATGGCAATTTTGCCCGACCCCCTCCATAGGTGGAGGTCTGTTGCTTGACCCCCATTGATATGCCGATCTCTTGCTCGGCCCTATGATTGGGTTCATATGCCATCTGCTCCTGCTTTAAGTGCCTAGCTGAACAGGATACTCGCATGGAATACATATTTGCCGAAGCTGAGCAGATGGCCTTCCAAGGCTGAGCTGAACCCTCTCTCTTTTGTTTGGTTGTGTTCTGTTGATGTTACCATTGGATAGCATTTTATCCTTCCTGACAAGCCTATGATCTTCACGAAGTATCAGTTACCTATTGAGACTGCATGACATGATTTCTCATTGTATCACATTTCACAGTTGATGTTTGTCTTGTTATTGTTGAGATCGACACTATTTGGATTGTGTATATTGTGGGAATGTTTGAATTCTATCCAATTGGAATTGAATATACTAATATTTGTCTCCTTTTTCTTCTTTCATGCATATCTCGGGCATTACCAGCCATTCCTGTTCTCTCAATGTAAGTGGACTTTTACCATCAAAATTTTTTGCACAGAATTTCTGTAAACAAATTAGGTTCTCTGTCTGTCTGTTTGTATTACCCCTTTCTTGTCACTTCAGAATTTATAGTCTATTTGCTTTCTTTATTTTGAGGAACTTCTACAGGAAGAACTGTCTTTGGACTTCATTTTTTCAGCGGTTTTTTTTGGCTAGAATTAGTTTGGCTCATCATTTTTTAGTTTTTTTTTTTTTAAATCTTATTATGTAATTTCAATTTTCATATGGTATGGATATGTTTAGGATATAGTCACGTGTTCTAATGCTATGATTCTGCATATTAGTTCTTCCTATAATACTAGTAGGATCAAATAATCTATTCATATTTTTTTGGGGGGTGAAGCTTCCTAGCCACTGCCTGTCACTTCAAAGCACTTCATTGTCATGCACCATCTCTGATCCAAGAAGGATATTGTTGACTGGTTGGTCTTTCTGGTCTCATGCTTTTTCTTAGGAGATTTCTGTTCACTTCAAGAACAAAAAGATAGTTTGTCAGTTCACAGGTTCATTGAACAAAGATGATTGGGTGGACTATACTAACTTCCTGTGATCTCGAGACAAAGATTGCTGGACTTAAACTTGAGCTTTCTGGAATTATGCTATCCTCCTGTGTCGGAGATGTTGAGTAGACAGGGTTTCAGTGAAATACCATGTGCCTCTTTTAATTCCTTTTACTTTCTCAAATTTGGGGAAAAAATTCTAAGATCTTAGAAAACGATAGTTTGGGCTTTGTTTAAAGGACTTGAAAGAGGAGCAAAATTACTCACTCTTTCTCTTCAAATTAATTCTTTAACCAAGCTGAGTCATAACCATCTTTACATTAAATCCACCAATCTCTGGTGTCATTCTCTCTCGAAAGCTTGAGAAGCCTTGCTTTGAGAACCCCTCTCTTGGTTTTGGTCATCAGTGTGACAAAATCTCCACCAGCTGGAGAACTTCAAATCAATCTGTTGGCCCCTTCCCTTTGTTGGATAAATACCTTCTCTCTGTCCACCTATTTGCATGAGCTTGCTCGTAATGAATTTAGTTTTGTGGGTGGTCCTTGGACGTTCCACTTTAGATAGAACTACATATATTTCTTTCCTTTTCCTAAGAAACTGCCCTATGGTATTTGGTAATTTGAATCCTTATGGTATAAGTTTGTTATTTTGATTTAAATTTGTGCTAGTAGTTTTTATTTATATTATTTGTACTACTATGCGTTAAGGCTTTTATGCTGATGTCTAAGGGTGTCACTGGTGTACCCTCGTTTATGCATTGTCCTCTACATATTAATGTTTCAATTTTATTTCTTTTTTCTTGTTGTGAGTGGGTTGTTGAATTATTTAAGACATGATTTTATCTGAGTACAGTAACCTTACTTTTTTTTGGGGTGCTTTTTTTATGTTCTGATAATGCCTGCCCTATATTGTTTTGGTACACACTGCTTACTTTTCCTATTATTGTTAGTTCTCATGCTGATTTGTTTTTTAGCAACTTCTAAAGTAAATGTCTTACTTGCCTTATAGGTTTTTGACAAAACTTCTCACCGAGGATTTGCCTCGGCTTTTTGTACGCCCAAAGAAGATTGTTTTGGATTTCCAAAAGATAAAAGCTGTTGTTCCTGTTCCAAATGCTTTCAAGTCAGGAGGAATGCCAGAAGGAAATAAGGATTTTGTTGGAGAATTATCGGCGACTCTCGTAGATGCTCGAAAGCTTTCTTATCTTTTCTATGGTAACAACATTCTTTCCTTACATACTTTTGCTTCTAAAATACGCACGAGATACATCTGTTCATTATCAACTATGTTATAATTCACCACTGACATGGACTTTAAGAGTTTAAGTTGTCACTTGGTCTGAAAAAGAAAGCCAACACATGCTTATCTGTGAACCAATCCAATGACACTATTTATGTCCTGTCTTCCTTGTGTCATTCTCATTATTCCCCTTTATTATTCAGGCAAAACTGATCCTTATGTTGTTCTAAGCTTGGGTGATCAAGTAATACGCAGTAAAAAGAACAGTCAAACAACTGTTATTGGACCTCCTGGTGAGCCAATTTGGAATCAGGTGAGTTTTCGTATTATGTAAAAGTTTTCTCATGTACTTGATTGAGTTTCATGCATTTACAAATGGAATCTGTTCAATTAGCTGCATTCATAGTTTTCATCTAAAGTTATAGAACGGCTGTAAGGTGTTTTTTTTCTTTGGCAGGATTTTCACATGCTAGTTGCAAACCCTAGAAAACAGAAATTATGTGTTCAAGTGAAGGACTCCCTCGGATTCACAGATTTGACTATTGGTACTGGAGAGGTAAAATGTTACGCTTGCAAAATGTGGTTATTACTATTGCATGGGTTTGTAAGTTACTGGCTTCAGTATATGGGATTGGTGTGCCAAACTTACTAATCTAAACACCCTAGTGTATTTATTCGAAGTTGTTAAACTGCTTTCATAATTGTGATACATGAAGCAGAAACTCAGACACGGCATCTTATGTTATCTTGATTCCATTTAAAGCTCTGTGGGCCTAAAGGAAAAAGTATTTCCTTGGCTGAAGTTACGCTTTTTATGCTGTTCACCGATGGTAACATTACTTGGAGGTTGATGTAAGATAACTTCAAGTACAAGGTCTAATTAAGGTTGAAAAAATGCAATCAAATAGATAAGCGATTGTGAAGAAAAGAAGATAAAGAAGGGAGAAAGGAGATAATTAGAGGAGTCAGATTTTATAAGTTTAAGAAGAGTCACCATTCCTAATCTAGTTAAGGGTACGGCTATACGTTTCATATAGGATCTTAGGTTTCAAAATTTAAAAGATTCTGACTCAAACATTGCAGACAAAAGAATGATATTCCCTTTGTTTCTACTGAAGAAGGCAATACAACAATGTATGGTAAGGATACTAGTAATCCCCAAAGCTTAAGTTATTAGAGAAGGGGTACAATGATCTATATCAAGCTCAATTTTTGGAGGCTCCATTTTTATAACTCCCATGTATATGAGTTGCAGCTCTTTTGTTGCCTTATAGTAGGATTTTACTTGTGAAAAAACTTGTGTATCAAGCTCAAAACACACAAAAAATAGAATGTAGAACTAACATACGATTGAATGGGGAAAAGTGTATGCGTGGGACTTGAACCAAAGACTTTATGGAATCAAAATCTGATACAATTTAAGGCAGCAAAAGTCTAACTATTAGTTAATGGGCCCAATAGCTTGGAACATCTATGGAGGGTTGTAGCTTGGAGGCAAGTGTTGAAATATAATAATCACATGTTTTTTAGAAGAAAAAGAAAGGAGGGAGAAAGAGAAATGTTTATGAGAAGTATGGAATTTCTTGAATTCATTCCTTCACTACTCTCTATTAATACTATCAAGCGTCTGAAAATTACAAGAATACACATTATTTTAATCTGGAAACTCCCCCATAACTTGGTGCATAAATATTTACACATGCCGCCAAAATTTTATGAAACACATTACTGGACAGTCACTCCCTTTTAGTCAGGACATCAATCATTCATTCCACAGCCTTCACAAAAAGAGTGCAAATAAGACCAAGGCTTACATTCCCTTTAATGAAATGCCTGTCAACCCATTATGCTTGGTTCAATCATGTTCAACCAGACTATGTGCAATACTGAAGTTGCATTGTTATCACAATAAAGTCTCATTGTGCTGCAAAATTCAACTAAAAGTTCTATCATCAAAATTCGTAACCATAAAAACTCAGACACCCTACGTGCCATAACTCTAAACTTGGATTTAGTACTAGATCTTGCAATTAACGCCAAGTCACCAAGTTGCCTCCAACAAATGTATATTTCTCAGAAGTAGATCTCCTATGCTTGGCTAATCCCATTGAATCCGCATTTGTATATAATTCCAGACTCTAATGATTATGGCTGGGAAATAGAAGACCTTTCCCAAGTTCTGACTTCAGATACTGAAAACTTTTAAAGACTGTAAATGGGACGGTCCCAATGAAATGTTTCAAGTGTCATAAGTCTTTTGTCTCAAATTCTTTGGTCAAAGACAATTTTTCTCATTTGATTTGCTAGCTGTATTTTTTATTCTCCACTGCTGCTGCCTGATTTTCCCTGGGTTATTTCTGTCTCACCAGGCCCCCAATGCTGTTAATACGTTTTCCTCCATGAAAAAAAGGCCACATATTTGTAACAAAGAGAAGGTTGCTATTTGACTGTCAAATCATCACTCACTAGATTTTATTGGATCCGTTGATCTATGCGTCTTTGGCTTCCAAAACTTGATCTAATCTCCAGTTTGCTTGATAGGCTTGAAATGTGAGTGGAAGTTAAATGTGGCCTTGAGGAAAAACAGAAGCTACTGAGAACTGCATATTCTCTCGTGGGTGTGTGTGTATGCATGTGTGGGTGTGTGCGCATATGCTATTGCGTTGTGTGTGGGAAGGAGAAGGCTGTTATGATCCAGTTAACTAATATTTCTATATGTTCTGAGTAAGGATATAGATGGGAAAAATGAAGAAAATTAAACAATGAGAGCAATAAACCTCTGCAAAATGCAGGCCACTTTTACCTTTTAAATTAATGTTAAACATCATTCAGAAAAAGAATAAATCAGTGGCAAATGAATGGGTGCTATGAGAGAAGTACTAGTGTTTTCAATCACAAATGGTTGCTGTGAGCTATGCGTCACTAATGTGTTTTGCATCACAGAGATATTGGAACCAATGTGCTCTTGGGTTCAAATATGAGGGAAACCACTTCGTAGAAATAATGCCTCATGTTAGATCTGTAACCATACCACTCATGCAACACTCTCAATTAGCAGAGAGCTAAATGGGTAATGGCTTTCTTCTTCTTTTTCTGTTTTTTGAGCGAGGGTTGGGGTCAGAAACAATGATAATTGCTCAGTTTCACATGTTTATGTAATCACCTAATTAAGCTAATCCTTATTCGTATAATAAACAACGCCAAATATTATTTTCTTATTACAGGGAGTAATAAATTGTGTTAACAACAAGAGATTAGGACCATCCTCCCTGCCTTAACCTGCAGACTTTTGGTTCCATTCATTTTTCCATTGCCAACCTTTTCACTAGAACCATAGAAGTGAACTGCTCTTATTACGGTCATTCTCTGCCTTCATTTATGTTTTGCATTTTACTCATCATATCACATGTTGCTGCTAAGTTTTGTTGAATAAGCTTAGTATATGATTGTGTTTTTCGACTTATTTCCTGCCGACTCAAAATTAGTGCTGATGCATGCTTTGTTACACATTTCAGTGTTTTCCTTATCCTGATGAAATGTTCTTTCAAAATAAGGCGTATGGTAACTTGTAAATTTAAACATTCCAATATCTAAAGTTCGTTGTACACAATCCTTCTTCGTTTAATTATTTTATTGTGCTTAGCGAGCCTGCTCATATTTCATTCTGGTTGAAATTTCTTCCTCTTTCTAGACAATTAGTTAATGCAAAATGATTTTTTAATTGGCAAAGCCAGTGTAGTATAGTTAGTTGAGTGTTGGCACGGCAGCTTAAGGGAGGTGACAGATTAGGGGTTTGGAACTCATTGCTAACAACAAATCCACAAGCAGTAATCAGTTTAGACAAGGTAGTTCTTTCCACCAAATTTTCTTCACAATCACCAAGAGCTGCTTGGCTATTACTTATTCACAAGGGGCAACAAACATCATGAAATTTCAATGCCAACCTTTCCCACTTAACCCAATCAAGACCCTGAACCATAAGCCATTTGGCGGTGATTATTCTCTTTGGTTAATTGTGATTGGATATTGCTAATAGCCACAATAATGGCTACATAAATTTGACTCCAAGCTCTGTGAACTAAGAAATTCGAAATTCTACTGTAATCTATACCACCCTCCTGGGGCTCCAACAAACGAAGAAAATAAAATAAATGAGTGGTAGAAAGAAATATGACTGACAAAATACTGCGTACAGGTGGATCTGGGATCTCTAGAAGATACTGTACCTACGGACAGGATTGTGGTTCTGAATGGAGGTTGGGGGCTTTTTAGGAAGGGATCTGCTGGAGAAATCTTACTACGGCTGACATATAAAGCATATGTTGAGGATGAAGAAGATGAAAGGCTCGAGGCTAAATCCATGGGTACAGATGCTTCAGATGATGAATTGTCAGATTCTGATGTATCAGATGCTGCAAACAAGCAGCATAAAATGGATTCAACAGGCGGACCAGATAAAGAATCTTTCATGGATGTTCTAGCAGCTTTGATTGTCAGCGAGGAATTTCAAGGGATAGTGGCATCTGAAACAGGAAATTCTAAATTGTCTGAAGATGTCCCTAGTACAGTGTCATCAGGATCAAGATCACGTGGCTCTGTAGGTCAATCTCCAGCGCCTCCAAATTCTGACAGTGGTTTGGAAGGTTTTGGAGGTATTGTGCTTCAAATTGTCAATACAATGACACTAAAATTTGCATGTTCATTGTCTTAGGTTTGTTATGAATTTTGACTGTATGTCTATTCTATCACGATTGTCATGATTTCCAATTTTCATTTATTATTCTCTTAAAGACACTTCATTCACAGGATCGGCCTTATTTTGGCTTGCTTTAATCACAAGTATCTCAGTGCTTATAGCTCTCAATGTGGGTGGTTCAAGTTTTTTCAATCCTTGATATGATGCGACAGCATGTGCGGAAACATGAATCATTGCTCACGGTTTAATCAGGTAAATCTTAAAAACCCCTTTCCGCTGCTTCTATATTTTCTGCAGTTGCATGGAATGGGAACCGTATATTTATTTAATTCTAGTTGTTGCCTTCTCTCATTTGTGATTGCGATGTAAGGTGCCTGTGTTGGAAATTTTCTCTGTTCTGTTGTTGCTTCCCCTCATTCATCTTATGTTAAACTCTTTAATGTGAATGTGAATACATTGAGTTTTAGTGTAGCTTTGGCTAGTGGGCTGGCTTCATATCTCTAGGTGGAGTTGTTTGGATGCATTTTTCCAGACTCTATTGCACATTATTCCAGCCTTTTTGTTTTGACAGTCTACCAATTCCTTATACACTATCTTGTCAGTAACTAGACTTTACGACATCAAACTCCGCCACCTTGGTGAGACCATTGTGAATGATAAAAAGTACATGGTCTGGTTAGAGCACTGATTTGTTGCATATATGTCCCTGTTTTGGGTTGAATAAGTTGTTTTGCTGTTATGGGCTTCTCCAGTAGCGGATTTCAGCTCTAGGTGATACCCTTTTCAGCACTCATGCTGGCATGACCAACTCTAGCTGATATCCTCTCTATTTTACTCACTGGATTAGGCTTTGTTTAAGATATAAACGAATGGTCAAAATTTTATTTTGGTGTATGGTTTCGGTTAGCTTAGAGTTGGAAACATTTCAAAAATATTTTGGAAAGATTTTGAAAACAGAGAAAAAATTCCAAAATTCTAAGATTTGTTTTCGAAACATCCCGAAAACATTAAAACATAGGAACTTTGGTGTCCAACGTTTCTGTTTCGATGGAAACTGAAATGTTTTGGCCAACTTAGATCCTTGATACATTATGAAGTGGATATACTTTTTGGGAAGTCTTGAATGATGGGTTGCTTAATTTCCTGTACATAATTTGTTCGAGCTTGGTATGCCATTTTGTAGCTTTGCAAAACTTTTTTGAAAATTTTCCTTTATTGCAGGCCGGGCTACAATCTTTTTCTGCAAAATTTGAAGAGGAATGCAGCCCGAAAATTCATATTTTTTTCTTTGGAATCTACTAATTCATGGCTTTAAGAAGAGGAATGTCCTTTTGGCGGCAGATTTTTTGATCTTTTCCTAGCAAGTAAAATTGCCTTGTACCCATGTTCAATAGTTGTATGTAATGTTATGCTGTTATGCCAGTTCTCTTACTCTCTTAAAGGGACCTAGCCTTTCCAAAGTGGACGCAGGTCCAGATTTGGAAGTTTAATGTGTTATTATTATGGTTTATTTTGTTTCTTTGATGAATGCTCGAAAAAACTATATATATATATATATATATATATATATATATATATATATAT